TCGCAGAAAAGCCGATAGAGGGCCAATGTTGACTTAAATGGCGTCTTGTGAATTAATTTATTCATTAATTTTCAAAGTTATTTGATGGTATCAGTAAAGTACGAAATTTTCACATGAGTAATACAAAATGAAGATAATCAATCAGCCATGTGGCTCAAAAAATTTGAGAACTCAATTACCACCCCTAAGAATGTACTGAAAAAAGTTTCAGGATGTGAGGGCGGTTTATTCAACCCTTCTACAATTTGTTTGAACCTTGAATTCGTCTAAGGGACAAATGGTACATTTTGTTATATAAATGAATTGGGTCCAATCAACTTTCCTTGACCTGTATTACATGTGGTAGCTCTAGATCTATTTCCCAGCAATTTTAGGACACCCTGTATACATATATAACAAACCATAAAGAAACAAAATTTGATTGTATTTGATAATCTTTCAATAGCCATTACCAGATAACATCTATTAATAGTTGAATTATTGAAATAAATCCAATCCAATATCTTACTCTACTGCTTTGATCGAATATATTCACTTGAGATACCTCCTTACATTGTTTTTTAGATAAGTTCTCAGATGTATTCATTGATTTGGTTGAAGAACAAAAGTGAAATAAAATGTGTCTAAAAAAAGTCCTAGTATGTTTTATTATCAATTTCTCTTGGGGGAATGTTGGCGAGGTATACAACAGATATCCACTCAATTTTATGGAAATGGAGGATTATTTGAAAGTACTGCTTAGATTTTAAAACAAAATGGAACTTGAAGACCACCACCAATTCCTCAGATTCATCTCAAAATTGATTAACAATATTTCAGGGGGAAAAAATCTTCAAGAAGTTTTGCAAGGCCTAAAACTTTTGATTCAAGAGCCTGCAAAATGTGCAGGAGTGCAGCAGAATATTTATTCTAAAGTGCTTATTGTTGATTGAAGGATCACTTTGGTGTTCCCTGGTATTTAATGAACTGAAAATAAATACCTGGTGCCACCTTACTCTGATTTGATAACAGTTTTTGGTTTTGCTGAGATTTTATAGTCATTCAATTTGGTTGAAATATATAGCATATATTAGTTACTGAACACCCTGTAAATAGTTGCAAATTATAGTGAATCTTCCATATTATGTTATTGGTGTGATGGGATCATAAATAAACTGACTAATCATAATAGAAGAGATATGTTATCAACAAAAAAAAATAGAAAGTTTCTAAATGAAGAAACCTATGTATAGGTACTAAAATAAATCATCAGTAGGTATGCTTAATATGGAATTTGAGTTGAACAAATACATTGAGAGAACATAAATAGGACTCTATTCATAAGGACCCAATAAGTTCCTAACTAAACTGACTTGAGTGGATATATAATAGGTAATCAGAAGAATAGGTTTCTTTGCTAAAGATGGCAATTATGATATTGACTGATGGTCTGGAAACTGAGTAATTAGTATAGCTATATAAATATTTACTGTTTCGAAGGCACTGCTCCTTTTCTCAGCCTCATATTGTTTACGGATTCTGGCGAAAAATGGCTGGAACATATCCGAAAATCTCCAGGTGGCAAGAATTTACCAACTGCGTCAGACCATTTTCTTCTAATATCATCGTCCTACATAACATAAAATATGCATACCATGTTTAATAAGTGTTTCATTTGGAATATGTTGAGATATTAACCTTCGGGATTCTGTACAAGTGAACAGAACTATCTCTGGATTGTCCACAAACAATACAAAAATACATTGTTCAAAAAGGAATAAAACAAAATCACAACACGAACACAAAAACAATACTGAACTGAAGAACCACAAAGAAAAACTACTGAACAACAGGAAAACATACAAATAACGCCAAAAGTCAATAATTTCACCAAATAATACCAAGTCACAATAATTCAAATTAATCAACAAAAATGCCGTTTATGGATCGATAAATTTTGGGTGTCAACATCTTCTTCTTCTTCTTTTATGTTTCTTGGTTTCAACATCAAATTTCAAATTTTAAAATTTGACAATGACAATAATCGACTGTGGCGCTAACTATCGGCCATTCTCCGAAACATCACCAGGTTTTTCGTTCCCATCGATTCGTTAGGGAGAGAAACAATTGAAGAATGACCACACCAGGGGTTATAGGCATCTTAAGATAGTGTAAGCTCGTCATGACATACCCTGTATATGCTCTAATGCTCATGAATTACTCAATTCATACAATAGGTTAAAGAATGTACTCAAAAATCCCTGCAATTGACATCTACTAAGTAGGTAGATTCCTATGCAACTAATTAACCATACCATAAGTACATAAAATCCTGTAGATATAAAATAGAACTTATTGAATTAATGTGAAGAATAGATAGTATGTTATTGTACAACCAATTTATTCAATGAAAAAAAAAATAGGTTGGTAATCACTGGGGTACTCAATAAAGGGATTCTTTTACTTACTATTTTGATGGAAGAGAACTGCGTCTCAGTCGTAGGGCACCAATACAATCTTGGGAGAAATGATCAGAACATACCCATCCACAACGTGGCAAAAATTTCTCAATTGCAGAAATCCATTGTGCACGAATATTTTCGTCCTGTGTGAAGATCTTTGTTCACATCAAGCATACCTACCAGTTACTGAGTTCACAATTCCAACAGATTTGATGACCATAATCAGAGGGATTTTATATTCCTCATTTATCAATACTTAATGCTTGCGGAATTCTTATAACTCGTCTTATAATATATCCTAAAGTATATGTCAATCATTTTCATCCAAATCAGTTAGATTTGCGAACTACTAATAAGATGAACAGGATACCTTAGGGATTCCAAAGAGGTGACGTGAAACTGTATTTGATTGTCCACAAACTATACAATATTTCATTTTCCGGTCTATCACTATAAATTTAAAACAACTGAAATACACTGGTAACAAACTAACGAATCGAACATTGAGAAACGTATTGAGAAATGAGAATACAACAAAATTAATAACAGGGATAAATTATAAGGATAAGGATAGCTGGAACAATGAAATACACAACACACTAATAACAATATCACTAATAAAAAAATAACTGGTGAACTGAACTTGAATAATTAATTATTACTGCCACAATAACATGTTCTTAACGCCATCTATAAATGAGCAGATAACTATTCTTATTACACGTTCGTGACGTTCGCCACCTTTGCTCTGAAGAGTCCAAAGAGTCGAATCACCAGTCTTATATTGAACCTTTACTCAACCAGCTTCAACTTCAAGCTTCAAGTTTCAGTTTCAGAGTCACCTGCCTAACTACAGCAACCACATTAACCACACATTCTTCGACCATCAAGACACTGTGACTGTGTATAAAGCAACGACAGTCGTATACTTATCACAGAGCAGGCACGGACTCGCCCACAGAGACGACCTGTTAGACAAATGACGGCTAAATATCTAGACCCATCAGACAGTCTAGGTAAGACCAACGAAAACGTGTAAAAGTTACGCTTGCGTGTTCAGGCATTGAATCAGCGTTGTTTCTAGATTCAAAATCAACAAACCAACATATCAACATAACAGAGTAACAGAGAAGTAATTATTCACGTGAAAACCGATAATACAATACGAAGCCTGAAAGTAAGATGCTAGAGCCCAGAGCTGGCTACTAAATACAATCAATCAAATCGATATTAGCGAAGGCGGCAAATTTAAATCTCTTAGATCACAGCAAAAACTTATTGAAAACTCATTCTCATAATTCCTTCAATAACATGCAAAGGGGAAACATCCTTTGATTCCTTGTGAGCCTAGATTGATATAACGGTGAAAGCATGGGGTACGATGCGTTCGGCCCAATTTTCGATTCACCCAAATTTGTATACGCCCAATTTTCGATTCACCCAGTTTTCAATTCGTCCACCATATCCGAATATACCCGAACGATGCGTTGTTGCCAAATCTGAATAAAGAATGATTCTGGGCTTATCATGATTAAATATTAAAATTTTTCGATACACATAATATGTATGTATGGTACATATTTTGATTCGCCAAAAATTCCGATTCGCCCAAACTTCGATTCGCCCGAATGTCGATTCGCCCAAATTTCCATTCGCCCAATTTTCTATTCACCAAATTTTTGATTCAGTTCGCGGTTTTCAAGGTCATCATCTGACGTTGCGATGACGTTAATACTGGGGGAGGACATGTTCAACTTTCGATTCTGGTTTGGCCAGGGAAACAAGAATGGTTTCCTTCAGTTTTAACGTCATCGCCACGTCAGATAATGAATAATTGAAATGTATGAATTCGCTTACCGTTCAGTTCGGCTTAGCAACCATCACTTACCCACCTATACCTATACTGTCATAGAGATAAATGAGGGCAAACAGATTAATATTTGCGTCACTAGTAGGAATTCTACGTATTATTTGTTCATTACTTACCGCAATGATTTTCCTCCTCTCAGAATGGGTAATGCCGTACTCCTCAAATAACGTGTACCAGCTGGATGTATGCAGAAGTCGCCATTTGGAAAATGAGATGAGCAAACACGTAAATTCGTTATATCAACATTAATATCGGAGAGTCCCAGTAATACAGTCCATTGTTTTTTCCTAACAGGTTCCTTAGGAATCCTACAAATTAAAAACATACCCGAAAAAATATATATTATATAGTTTATCAAAAAACATTTGCAGAGTGACGTGCCACACCTGCACTCACTTCAGAGGGAACTTCAAACCCGCCGACGAAGCTCGGTGCGGGTTATTCTAATTGATTTTGCATAAACCTACTTTACCTAATATAAATGCGAAAAATTGCCATTGTGCCAATATTTTATGTATACTTATTTATATAGGGAATTATCAGATAGTTTATAACTGATTAACTCATCAATAGTTAGAGTACAAGATTTTGTAGTTGTTTATATTTCAATATCAAACATTAGTTTACTGAAATTATTATTAACATCTCCGGAACAGTATTTGATAATAATGTGGAAGATAATATATCATAATATGTTCCACGGTTAAAAACCACTAGAATCCTGAAATAACTAGTTATAAATAAAATTGAAAAATTGTGTGCATTGCTGAACCACTGTGTGTGTATTCCTCTCGTGTAACGAAGTTTTCATAATTCTGGTTATTTTCAGGTGAGACATACTGTATAGTTGATAAAATAATTGTGATAATATTAACTTGGGTAAATAACAACAACTTAGTTATTTTTCGTAATCGATTAATTTAATGCACCTGGAGTATTTTGCCATTAGCTTGTGAACGCGGGGTAGTATTTTGATCCATAAATAACAATTGATTGAGCGGAACGTGATCACTATCGATGTAAACGAGTCGGGATGTTTTTGAAGCGTGCTACGCTTTCCCAGTCTATCGCTGCGCCGAAACAGTCAGTGAGTGGGAATCAGGCCTAACACTGAGCGAGAGGTCATATTCTTTGTCATCATAATCAAAGAATAAAGAATAGTAGAGGTTTCTCCTCTTTGTCATATTCTCTCTCCCGCAAGGAGGGGGATATTCAATTCGCACCTCTGTCCTCTGTCATTGTCAATCATCATTCAATGCCGAAGAATGAGTCGAATGAATGTCGCATAGCTTGGGTGAATCATGAATGAAAATGAAATAAATTACTGTATTCGACATGTGAATTTCAGTTTCAATTTTCGCATTCTCACCTGTGAAAAGTTCGAACTTTATTTTTACTCCACGTTTCTCCACAAACATAACATTTCATACCCATTATCACTGAACCACTGAAGCACAGATTAACAAAGACTGTAGTGAAAGTGAGGTGTCAGGTGTCAGCATGTCAGTCAGCAAGTCTAGAGACAGGAAGAAAAAGTAATCTTCGTGTGGGGGAACCTCGCTAAGCACAGGCCACCTAGCGGCGCGCGATTATTATACGATCAAACGAACTTACCTGTGAAGTTCGATCGTAATTATATGAAGCGCCTCGTCCGAAGAGATCACCTTGATTACACTTGTAGTACCCTTATTCTGAGCTTGATGACCACAACGTTTAAAGACTTAAGTCTCAAAAAAATAAAAACTTCCCATCTCTAATTCCTCGATGACGTCCCATCTCTAATATCTCCGATGCTCTATGTATTGTGTTCCATGATTCCTTCATAATTTTAAAGATTCATAAAATTGTTACATGATTTTAGGGGTTTGGGTGGCGCGGGAGGTGATCTCTTCGGACGAGGCGCTTCATATAATTGTACGATCAAACGAACCTGTGATGTTCGATCGTAATTATATAAAGCACCTCGTCCGAAGAGATCACTAACTTTTACTATGTAGTACCGCTTCTTGGTACTAGATGGCGTCACATAATAATAAAGAAAACCTTTTTTACCAATACTACCTTACCTACATTACCCACTAGCGTCATTAAGTTTTAAGTTTTGTGCAATAAATATATATTCCACTGGGGTCATATCATATACCATAGATGATAATCTCAATAGTTTCAATGAGGGAGGGGCGGGAGTGATCTCTTCGGACGAGGTGCTTTATATAATTACGATCGAACATCACAGGTTCGTTTGATCGTACAATTATATTTCAGCACCTCGTCCTCGAGATCACTAACTTTTACTATGTAGATTTTCAAAGTTTTATAAATATATATTTATTGACGTTGTTACTTTCATTAGGCACATAAATTCTGGCACATCCTTTGGAAAGAAAATTTATTTATTTTTTTTTTTTTTTTTTTTTTTTTAACTAGTGTATAATATGAACTCATTCAAATTAAAAAGTTATATCTATTTGATTTCCTCATTGGGAAAAATTGCATGACTCAACTTTGTAGAATTAGCGAGAGGACGATTGTAGAATTTAGCAAACGTCTGAGAATTCGTTGACCAGCCAGCAGCCTTTTTGATTACTTCCCAGGGGATTCCGTGGCGGGAGGCTGCTGAAGTGGATGCATGTCTAGTTGAGTATGCGGAAAACATATTCGTGTCAATTCCTGCTGCTTCCATCATTTGCTTTATCCAACGAGAAATGGTGCTTCTTGTGACACGAATATATGGCTCTCTTGAAGCTATGAAGAGATATGGCTCAGAAACTGGCCTAATGGATGCTGTTCTTTCTATGTATGACAGCAACGTAGAGGCAACACATACTTGCTTTTCATGATAAAAGGGTAACTCCAAACATGGTTGATATGAATTCAGTCTCGTTGATTTTATTCTATCCGGTACAAATATGCGAACTCCGCCTTCATGAAAATTTATGTTTTCCACTCTTATTAGCTGCAAAGTTTGGATTCTATGCCCCGTGGAAAGAGCTAAAAGGATTGCTAGCTTCTTGGAAAGTTTCAGCAGAGGGAGATTCTCATTGCTATCCAAAGAGGATAAATAAGTCAAAACTATTTGTGGATCCCAAGTGACATTATACCTAGGCCGAGGAGGTCTCAACCTGGACACTCCCTTAAGAAACCTCCTTATCAATATATTTTTACCTATTTCATTTGGTAAAATTAATGCCAGAGCTGATCTATGTTGATTAAACATTCCATAATTCTTCTTGGTATTCTGTAATTCATACTCCATAAATTCAAGGACAGTAGGTACACTTGCCTCCAGTGGATCTACCTTATTTTTGAGACAATAAGACCACCAAGACCGAAAGGATGAATTATATTGTTTCATTGTTGATACTGAGAGTGACTGCAACAAGGTATTCAATGTGCTTTTTGGATATCCTCTTCTTTCAAAGGCTTGGCTGATAGCCTCCCTGCAACCAGGGTAAGGGTTGCATGAAGAGGGTGAGTCATTCTGAAAGGAGAAGAAAGTAATGTCGGATTAGGTTCCAGTACAACTGGATCTGCAGTCAACAGATTTTTGAACAAGGGGTACCAGGGTTGTGAGGGCCAGTCTGGTACGACGACAATACCCTCGGCACTATCAGATATAATTTTATTCAGCATTCTCAATATGAGATTGAATGGAGGAAAGGCGTAAAAGTATGTATTACTCCATGAAATGGTGAATGCATCAACCGCAACGGATTCTGGGTCTACATGCCAAGATACATACTGCTCTACCTTTCTATTTGCACTCGATGCGAACAAATCTATGTCAGGTTGGCCTAGGCAATTAGAAATTTTTGTAAATGCTTCCTCAGATAGTTCCCATTCAGTTTCTGAAGAAATTACACGAGAATTTGGATCTGCAATATTATCCTTAGTGTTCACATAACTAGCATGTAACCACAAATCCCGGTACTCGCACCATTTCCAAATTTGTTTTGCAAGAGAACAAAGCTCAAGATGCTGTACACTTCCCATTCTATTAATATATGATAGTGCCGTCGTATTGTCAACTCGAATGAGAATGTTGCATGATTTAAGATTACCAGCAAAACACTTCAATGCATAAAATATGGCTTTAAGCTCTAAATAATTAATGTGTTTAATTATGTCTACAGAACTCCACCAGCCATGAGTAGACTGGTTTCCAGCACACGCCCCCCACCCTGTTTTTGAGGAATCTAAATATATTTCCAATGAAAATTTATCAGACCGTATTTCATTTGTAGCTGAAAAAATGTTTTCAGCCCACCAATCAAGGTCTTCCTTGACTAACCCAGAAATTATCATGGAACTATTATAATTCTGACCAGTTCTTTTGAGCGCTAAAAACTTTTCCCTTTCAAGGTATTTAGTATATAATTTTCCATATTTCATTGCTGGACAAGCAGATATTAATAGTCCTAAAAATTGAGCAAATTTTCTAATCTTACAATATTTTGTATTTTTGATCATTTCTATGCAATCATAAATCTTGGATTTCTTTTCCTCTGGAAGTTCAATTAACATTTCTTTACTGTCAAATATAAAACCTAAGAACCTGCATCTCTGGCAAGGTACTAAACAACTTTTTTCAGTGTTGATAATAAAACCTAATGAGGTCAACAAATTGATTGTCAATTTTACATGATTCTGGCAATCTTCCTTTGTATTGCCCATTATTAAAAAATCATCCAGATATGCAACACAGGTTACACCTTGACTTCTCAAATATGTTAATACTGGTCTCATCAGTTTTGTAAAAACAAAGGGGGCTATTGCCAAACCAAATGGGAGACATGTAAACTGGTACAATGTTTTGCCCACTTGAAATCTAAGAAATTTTCTGAATCTAGGATGTACAGGGACCAGAAAATATGCATTTTTTAGATCTAATGTTGCCATATAACAGTTTTTGTTTAAAAGTTTTATAACTGTTCTATTATCTTCCATTTTGAAATGTGGAGGGTCAATGAAGGTGTTGAGTTTTTTCAAATTGAGAATAAATCTAACTTTGCCACCTGGTTTCTTAACCAAAAAATATGGAGATACAAACTGATCCTTTGATGGCTTGCATTCCACTATGGCTCCCTGTGAAAGGAGTTGTTTCACCTCCTCAACAATTTCTCTCTGTTCTTTTTCAGAATGGCAGGGATTACTACTTAGTGTAGAAGGTTTAGTTATAAATGGTATCTTGTAGCCTTTGATCCAAGATAGCAGTACTGAATTTGATGAGATCTTTTTCCATTGTCCATAAAAACTGGCCAGTCTGCCTGCCATGTAACTTACCTTTATTTCCTTTGAACAACCTGATTCTGCTTCCTGGGCTGTTGGAAGTTGCGCCCCACTTGTCTCGATTCCTTCCTGTAATAATCGGACGGGCCTCTGTAGTTTAAATAATTATTTTTATTTCTGGAAGTATTACCAGTATAAGGAGTACTGGGCTTTTTGAACCCACTGGCTGCTGTCTTGGTTTGTTTAAAATCTGACAATGATCTTTCAATTGTCTTTGCAGCTTTGATCCTCTCACTCAAATTTGTTCCAAATAGCAAACCTTCTACAGGAGTTGCATTGGTCAAATCTTTGACAGTCTTATTTAAAGTTGGTGTGATCAGAGCTCTTCTTGAGAGAGACATATTATGATGCACATCTGTAATAAGCTTGGCTGACTCACTTAGCAGACCAGGGAGGATATTTTTATTATCTTTATTGATATCATCCTCTTTCAATAAAATATTCATTCCTTTACCTAAGGCTCCAATGCTGCGGCCTAATTGATTTTGGTTAGACTGCTGGAATTTGTCTTTATTGTGAGTACTAATAGGCATTGCTTTAATAATTTCCTGATTTATTTCAGGTGCTTTCAGTGCTTCTAGGTTAATGGGAAGGGGATGCTTTTCCAACAGCTTTGACCTTTCATCTTTGTCAAGTCCACCCCTCAATATATCCAGCCACCTGTTCTGAAGAATAGGGTGAAGCTCAAATTCATTGGCTTTTTTACTGTGGAGGTCTTCCCCCAAAGCCTGCAAAACTTCCTCTTCTAAATGGAAGTCCACATGTACAGCTAGTTCATCCTGATCCTGAAGATCAGTAGTAGGTGGTCTTCCACCTATAGATAGTAATTGTGATTCCTGATCAATGTTGACTGAAGCACTATTTGTATAGTCCGAGTCTTCTGAACTCTGTGAATGTTGTCTATCTCTTGGAATATTACTACTTGTGTAGCTATAACTTCTATCTCTGCTGGGACTTTCATGCCTATAACGAACTGAATTTCCGGTCAAAGTGGATCTGGGACTTCTGGGGCTATGACTATGGCTTTGCCGAACGGTGTTCCGTTCGAACTGGGAGAGTCTCTCATTGATGCGTTCAATCTCCCGATCATATCGAGACTTTTTTCGATCTCTTGATCTCGAACGTCTCGAATCTCGGTAATCACGTTCTCGGGACCTTTTTCCCATCTGAAAATCAAGTATTTTAATAATATTTCACTCAAAAAGAAAAGAAAAAACGATGAAATGAAATTTTTGTGACACCACCAAGCACACAAAAAAGCGTAATGACGCTAGTGG